TGGATTGAGAGTAATGTTCGATCACTGATAGAAAAAAAAATGGAAATAGAAAATTTAAAAAGCATACTGAAGATTTATTGAGAATAATTTGGGAAAAATTAAAATACTCGAAAGGAATTGAGAATTGTAATACGAATAATTTACAGATAGTAGAACATTGAAAAGGAAACTACAAATGTTAATGAAAATAGTTAGAAGAAGATCAAGGTACCATATTAAACAAAATTGGAAATTGTAATGAGAATGATAATGAAGGAGAAAATACTTTCATAATCCTTTCACAAATGTCCAAAAAGTAAAATTAGTTCATGCCTTTGAACGTCGCTCCTTCATTTTTCATTTTGAATCTCAATTTTCTGCACCTGACCTACAGAATATACGTTGATCAATTTCGCCGATTGATACGAATCTTTCCATAACGAAGATAGGTCGACTAATTAGAACGAATATCCATGGAACAAAGGGAAGCGTCGAGTTCGAAATATCGATTGAATCGTTTTAATCTGATCAGTTGTATTTTCATCCTCTTGCACTTTTTACAACCAGCATCGACTTGTTTTTTCCAGGGCCGCGTGTCTATAACATATTAGCTCTGCTACTTAGAAACGGATCTTCAGCAAATAGGAGGAATTAGGTTCTGGCATCAAGCTAGACTAGTCGTTCTATATGGATCAATACCTTTTTAATCTATCAAAAGATCTTTACTCATAAATGATAATAGTTTCATCCTGAAATATGCGTGTTACTGTCCTTCAATCCATTTATAGGTTATGTTCATAAGCGGCTGCCATTTTAATTGCATTAGTTGTGAGCATCTTTGATAGAATTAAGCTTCTTAAACAAATATTTATCAATAGTGCATTTCCTTGTTTCTAAACTTTATATTGGAAATATAAATTTTTAAAAACTGATTTTTTTAAATGGAATTTTTTAATCAACGGAAATGTTGTCATATATTGTCATATATTTTCTCGAAAAATACGAAAATCATTTTCAGATGAAGGTGAAAGTTTTTGAAGGATTTTAATGATTCGAGAATTAATGATTTCATTTCACACACTTAAGTAATTTGAACAAATGTTTTAAAAGTATTGTGCTGCGATTCAATCGATTTATTACCATACAATGTAAGATAATTTATTTCTATCGAAATGCTTCATTCGCTATGTTACCGGAATAAAATGATGTTTGTAGTATTGTTCGAACTTGAGAATCGATCGTGGTAACTAGAGTGAGCAACACGTTAATGGACGTATAATAGTGACACGTACAATTCCAGCTAATCTCATCTATCGTGATAGTAACCAGACAGAATGTATCCTGGGTAAATAGATTAAGGAGGAGGAACTGTTTGCGTGAGAATTTGGGTGAACAATCATCATCGACGAAACCATGATTGCTGCTCCAAATATTGACTGTCGATGATATTTACTGAAGACTAAATACAAAAATAGAAGAAGGTACACGAAAAATTTGATGTGCAGAAATTGGCACCATTTTCATTTAAATCAAAATAATTCTTTATTAGTAATCATTATTACCTTACGATAATTATTAACATCTGCCATACGTAAATAAAAACTTGAAAATTATTTAAATTAAAAATGTTATATTAAATGCTATTGTCATTTGGAAGTAAAATAAAATGAAATATCAGATTTAATAGAGCTATATATTTTCAGCTGGGTACGATTACAATATTCTACATATTGTATAACGAAAGACCTCAATTTCGTCAATTTGCATCGTATTAATGTCGTTGTTGCACGACACTTCAGTAGGCTTATAAGGGCTCTAATAAATCAATGATAATTAAGGCTGTCTCAGATCACGTTAGGTAGGTACAGAATAACTTGAAATGTACACAATACGTCTAAAAGACGTCCTTCAGTCAGGATTGAGAGCTCACGTTAGACAAAGCCTTGACACTTAACTGTAATTGATTAATGTTTGAAATGGTATAGATTTACCGCGTAAGCATAAATAAGACGTCAAACAGCGATATTAGTACAAAATAATCATTTAACGTAATTGATACTTAACGTCCTATTTGACAGTTATGTAGCATATACCTTAATAGTTTATATTCTGAAGAGAGCTTTGGTAGAAATAGGAATTATAATTGCAATGTTGGTACATATCCGAGTACCATGAAACTATGAATGGACTGATGTTTGATTAATAAATCTCGAATTTTGGTTTGTGTTTCGTGTTCGATAATTCTAGGAATCCCGAGTAATCTGATCCTCGGAACAGTATCGAGAAATGGAAATGAATAAAACAGCGAGTATTATAAGCTGTTATGAAGCACTAAAAATGACTAACACTAACGTTAAGACATTTACATTAGTAACTTTAAATCACACTCCAAATTGTCCAATTAAGTTCCCATTTTAAGTAGTTACTAGCTTTCTACATAGAAGTTAACTAATTCTCCTTAAGCACCGATATTTAACATAACCGATTTGACTTAAGATAGACTTGAAACTAAGTAACTTAAATTATACTTAACTAACAACTCAAACTCACACTTAACTAAATACTTATATTACATTTGCTCATAAAAATTACTTCGCTATTTTCTTAATTACTTGAACACATTTTACCCGTATATAAATATGAAAGGAAAAATAGAAATTGGATAGAAAATCCTGTAGTAATTCCAAGGTAGGATCTTCTTCCATATCTCTTAGCAAATTTACCCATAATTACTTACCTGACTCAGGCACTAACGAGACGATGCAAGTGTCAGGAACTGTACTTATATGGGGGAGACGATTAGTGTGAACTTGCGAGAATTAGCTACTGCTAAGTATGCTCTAGCAGCGAGTGTCAGGAGCAATCTCTCTAGCGGTATCGAGTGCATCCACGATTAAATGACCTTACTCTGTTCCTTTGCACGTTAATAATTTAGCGATTGATCGAATCCACGCCTCTTCTCCTACCATTTTTGCACGATTCTTTAGTCGATGAGTCAGACACAGGATTAGAACAATTGTTTGGTAAGACGAAGAAGAAGGTACAAATTCTCAGACGTCGAGGAATAGAACCTTAAAACGCGAAGGCGTCGACAACCGGGGCACAGTGGGAAAATCATTGTTCGTCGAAATAGGCACGCGAACGCCTAATGAAGCATCCTGTCTGCTGGCAACCCGTCTTATTTGCATTATCCTAAGCGGACGCTGTGTTATTACACGATCCAGCTGACACCGATGAGTTCCTGTCACCAAGGGTGTTGGAGACACAATTAATAAAGGCGACGGAACAAAACCTTCTACTCCAGAATCGTTTTTATCAAATTACGTTTAACATAGGCATGAATAAGTCAAGTACTTGAGGATATTACAATGGATAAGATACAATTATTTAAATAAGGCTTATGTAACAGGTTCGACTAACATCGGTGTATGAATTTTTGCCCCTTACGAATAAATATTACAGAACAGTAGTGCCATAGGCATAGGACGAAATACGTTTCTTTTTAAATGAATTTATAAAAATTAAAAGATCTCTAAAAATTCTTTTCTGTACTTTATTGTATTTTATCATTTTGTCATTTCGCTAGTTATGAAATATGTAACATGCGTAACACTGTTGCAGAATATAACGTTTCCTGAAAATTCTTCATTAGAACCAAGCATATCGTATCCTTATACAGATAGATATTTACGTGGCTATTTTTAGATTGAGCACCCTTGATAGGTTATATTCGAACGATCATACCTCTCCCAAATTTTTCGAGCCGACATCGAAGGATCATCCATCGATCGCGTGTATACATTTATTACCCTATTGTGCCTCATATTTGGTTCAATTTCTCAGGTATACAAATTGTTCCCACCACGGGGCCATTGTTCACGCAGGGACAGATTTTGTTGCCCATACCTGGTCCGGTGTTCTCGCGAATGCGCGAGGACTCATCCTACTTTCCCTTTCTAGTGGGCTGTACGCGATGCTGTATAATGCATTAATCATCGTGCGTGTGCTTTACACGAAGTGTGTTATTCTTCATCTGCTCTGCCTTGCGCAATTCGCCTATGATTTTTAGCTGCCGACCGGTTGAGCGACGTTGCGCCAACCAGAGAGCGCAAGTGACTCACCGGGTCACGTGTCGCGAGCTTGCAACTTCTTCTGCAGATGGCGCACTCTGCAGTAGTCCATGCAGTTAACGTTAAACCTACCATAACCTAAATGAGCACTTCTAAAATTTTTATTAAAAATTCCGGACTCAACGTTACTGTTTTGATTACTTACTTTCGCGATTGTCCTACATTTTCTCTTTCATATCTTTTTTTTTCTTTTTTACCTATATTGATTGAATATACTATTTAAAGATCGTAATAAATAATGCTATAAGTAATAAAAAAAATTATTTCCTTTACCCATAAATAGTATTAACATGAATCAAGGTACGTAAGATAAATATCTCCCACATTACTCTTCAAAATATTGAATTATCTCATCAGAAATGCGTCGCTAACACTATCCAATCACGAATCAATGTTATTTAAATCCACCTGAGGGACTTTCAATTTCGTCGACCCTAGAGACGTCCAAGGTTGGCTCAGACCCCGTGTAAAGTTGTTCGAATGGGGGGCCCGGGCGATGTATGTCCTCAACTATCGATTGTTACATCTAACAGCTTATTCGATTCGACTAGCATACTAATTTCCGTTCGCTCCTCGCGTGCCTCTAATCCCGAAGTGAGAAGACATTCCTTAATTAAAATTTTTACCTCCGTTGGGTGCCTTATCTCCAGCGCCATCTCATGTCTTGTAGCTTAATTAACTACAATCTTAAACCCTCGAACAATACCCCCTCTAATTAACGAGAAATTTCTTCGCGATAACCGGGTCACTGTCAACAATTCGTCAGTGAATCGTGAAATTAATTGACACGATTTGTATCGGCAAAATAACGAGAGAAAAAAGAAAAGCAACGTTACCTTTCCGTCTGAGCCACGTCCATGTTAACGTTGTGCGAATTTCTTCTCTTTGCAGAAGATTGGACGGAAACGTTCACGTTTCAGCTGGTGCTCGGGATGGCAGTAGCGTTGGTGCTTCTATTAGTGCTAGCCGCTGCCAGCTTCCAATGCTCCTATACCTGGAAATGGTTAATGAGGATGAGGCGAAACATGGAAGAGGAAGATGCTAAGAGCGACTTATCGCAGCAGAACGCTATTCGTATCAGTCATTCCCTGCCGGATTTCCAATCAGAGCCGATTACTCATGAGTACGTTCAGGAGCAGAAGGATAGCAAAAAGGTATGAACGATAATACATGCACGAGCTGTTCTTTTACGTACCGTAAATATGCTTCTTGCTTGTTAGATGCAGACAATAATTTAGCAGCCTGAAAGAAACTGTATGACTGAGAAGAGAAGCTCGACTGGTGATACCTCGTGGGTGTGAATGTCGTTTAATAACGTTCGCGTCATTTTGAATATACATGTGACGATTCAAATGAAATTAATTAATAATTCTTTCGTCGCTTGTACCAGTGGTGCTATTTTCATTATGGTAATTACTAAGATACCGCTTAGAAATTCGGAAAGTTGCAGGGTTTAAGGGATTTAAGATTACGACTTTTGGTTTAACACTTAAGGGGCGGGTAAATTTACGTTTTCCCATTCTGACCTCCTAAAGCAGTAGATCTACAGATCATAGTAGATATACGTTGGAAAATATTTTTGAAAAATTATCACGAAAAGCCATTAAGACCTTGCGTTTTGAAATAAACAGGATTGATTCGTACAGACCTGGGCCATATGTTTTGTATTTCTGGTTAAGAGAGATGGAAAATTGCCAATGTTACGTGCCGTTACCTGTAGTGCCTCTTAAATGACGTTATTGATGATTATCCTGATATCAAGAATAAAAAGACTCAACAGGATTTGTTTTAAGCATGAATGCAGCTACTGTTAGTACTGAATAATACAGAGGCTAAATATCTGCAGGCTGTCGCTCTTCATTCGGGATTATTAATGTTCGCCTGCCATCGATTGCGCTGTCACGTTGCTGGTAATTAACTCAATTCGAGTGTCGAGGATTTTTATATTGCTTCAAAACGTTCTCTTATATTCTCGAGAGCAAAGAAGGTGTGCAATATGAATTTTCACGCAGAAGTAGAGTATTCTATAGCTGCAGCAATCTTATTTTTCACTCGACAGCGTCAGCCGGCCTCGCCTACCATCCATCATCGATATTCAGCAAGAATGAAAAATCCAAATAATATCATCAATCTTTTAATAGAAGTAAAAAATATCGGACAGTTAGAGGAAGATTATAAACAGAAATTGATAAACGAATATTCAAATATACTTTTCAAAATTGCTTCCTCCTTACCTCGCTCGTAATCGAAGCCGTTACATTTTCCCAATTAGGAAAAATTACTGGCAAAAATTAGAAATTCACGGTACCTCATGCTACTTCGTACCAGAATCTATCCTGGAAGCAGTGAAAGTTAGAAACCGTAGAAAATTGCTTAATTATAATAATTTCGAGCATTCAGCTAACGCTGGCCGTCTTCCTTCCTTGTTCCATTTACGACAACAACATCGGACAAATTATTCTTCCTTGCTTAGTTTATTCGCCGTGGAAAGTTCGTGTCTAACCAGCCCCGAAGCGCCTAAATGAAAATTTCATGTAGCGAAGCATCGCCGAGGAAAGTTCGTAGTTAAGCAGCTAACGAAGAGGGCGGCCGACTTCCGGGATAAACTTCTGAAATATTGAGACGCGATGAACGTATTAAGCCATGACTTTTTCATAGGTACTGCGCCAAACAACTTTACCCATTGTGCCGATGAGACACCAGAGCTTCCAGAGGCAGCTCTCCTATCGTCTCGACTTGCCGATCAAGTTCAGCATCTGCAGCCTGGAGAATCGCAGCGATTCCAGTCTCGGTTTAATCAAGGTACACTTGCAATTCGCAAACTTGTTTTTCCTCCATCACTTTTGCAAAAATTCGCAAATTTTTTCTCTTCGCGTCTTCACGGTCCGACATACCTTTATACCGCAACAAATATCCTATCGCGTACTAAAATGTGATTTTTAAACAATTTAATATTTGGGTCTACCCCGAGAAATAGAATAATCTCGAAAGATATTACAGGATAATTTTTTAAATACTTATTAACCGTCTGCATTCGAGTGGTCACCATTCAATCAAATTCCGAAGATCGATCTTAATGCATTAAATTTCAAATAACACAACGATGGGTGGAATATCGGAATAAAATAATTCCATGTGTTAATTTGTATCCAATTTCATATTTACTGTTTATCAAAATGTCGTCGACTTTATAGCAGAAGTTCTTCGAATTGCTATTTCTCTGTGACGAAAAGGTCACCGAGTGCAAAGGGTTAATGATATTAATGAAATAATTAAATTTAGGGGTATAATAGTGATAGAAGGTGTTTAATTTGTTACTTGAAAAGTGAGAAAGAATTATCATTGATAATCGTAATCTGGAAAGGACTAAATACTATTTTTGAAGTTGTCTATTTGCCAAATAATCGATTACTGTAGCAACAATAGAGGGACCAATATAGTATGATAGGTCAGGTAAATCAAATGGTTGAAGGATGTAATAGAACGTTCGTGCTGGATTTTTCAAAAGAATTCGAGACAGTCGGTCACCGTGCAGACAATGAAACGAACTATCAAATTCAGTTTGTTCAAAGCTTTAGAAATACCTCTTCGCGTTTGCAGCCGGAACTTTACAAGAAGGAGATAGGGCAGGATGACGATGAGAGCAACAGCATCGCGGAAATGGAGTACGCCGGCAAGCTGCACTTTGCTTTGCGCTACGACAAGGACATGGAGGGACTGGTGGTCAAAGTGAGTTTCACTATTTTTCAAATGTACGTCATTTTGCTTGTACTCGTCCCTGTGTACTATGGAAGCAGTCGCGATGCTGGAGTTTTCATATGGCGTACTGTTCGTGCCGCGTGAGTTATATTTCCAGCTACATCTCTTTTACCCCCCATTTCACAAGGCAGGTGGAATACATTATACCGTAATTTGAACGTTTAAATTCAGAAAATTTGATACATTTACAGACAAAAGGAGGAATAATATTGTATAAATTTAAAAGTATTTTCAATTTTGCGAAGAGTAAAGGAATCATTTGCAAAATATAATTAATGCAAAACTGAGAAATGGTTAGTCTAAATCAATCTCCGTGGGCAGAGAATTTTCTATAATGTATTTATATATAACTATATATATTGTCTGAAGAATAGCACGCGATTCATTCCACCAATGTGAAGTACCACTAATTTAATTTCACACTCACGAGTCCACTATATCAGTATCATTAGTGTACTGTCCAATCAACTGCAACGCTGTTACAAAATTCAAAAATCCTCCAAAAATGAACCCCAATATCCCTCCAGAGTGGCTCCAAATGTTCGAACGCTATATTTCAAGAGAATTCTCTAACCCAAATTTTCCGATTTTAATAAAAGTATGCAGATTCAATAAATTAAATTTCTCATATAGAGTAATCCCCCAAAATATGCATAGCATTCGAATATTTTCGTGAGCCGCTATAGTTATTCCTCGGTTGATCTACCAACTCGGTACTACTTAAAAGCGCGTAAACCCTTTAAGCCGTTGAGTCTCGCAGCCAAGTGTCGCAATATCAGCTGACGGAAAATTAAACCGCAGTGATCCGACCACGAACACGATTACCCGTGTATCGAAAGCCCTTGTACGTGCACCAGTAGTCACGCTCCTCCACCCCTGGTACCTCGTTTCCATCGGCGGAAGCTCGGCCAGGGCTTTTTTCCAAAGCGACTCACGTAGTCCGCGAAATCGACGGTGGGACTCGGAGAATTCTTTATACGGAAACGACGACCGACATTCACGTTCCAGTTTTGTCCTTTGCCTGATCATATCGTTCCTGACTGGTGAGATACGTTCGATCGCGTGCAGTCACTTTGATTAAGCCGTGCCTCAAGGTCGCTGGGTGTAGAAGAAAGATCCTGCCAAAAACGAGACTGCATAAATGGGGTCTACGTCGTGGTAATCCGATAGAATCGAATTTAATTCAGTATTCATCGTCACGAATCCAGATCGTCCATGATTTACATTGAAGAGCGATCACCCCTGTTCTTGATGATTCGTTAAATCCGTGAGACTTTATCCTTCGTTGAATATTCATAGCTGAGAGTGGTATTGCGTAAGAAGTGATTCTCGAGCAGGAAATCCAGGCTGCAATCGATTATGTGAAAGTTCGAGTGTCTTTTCGTTGTGTGTCCTTGGGGAGTATTATTATTAAGACGCTTCGTAGAGGAACACTAGAGATATTGAGGATTTTGCTAAACAGTACACGAAGAGATTAGTTTGATCGGAGATATGTAACCTCTAATTTAAAAGAGGAAAAAAAAGATTCGATTGACTAGGTTTGCTTTAATTTAGTAAGTCCTGCTCCTTGCCAGTATTCTCTGTTGTACATTTAGCCGGTCGATAATTAACAAACCATTACGTTGAAATGATTTATAAAAATTTCAATAGTTATAAAGGTTGCTGTGGTGTGTAATAGTATAACACGTGTCTTCCAAATCTGTTTTTCATTATACTTAACCTTTCCGAATGCCTAGGTGGTTCTTTTCCCTCGCTATATACGGCAGTCACTGCCTAGTTACCCCTAAAAATAGACATACTTAATATTATTAATATTGTCGATTAAAACTTCATTGAAATTCTAATCTTCCTAGCCAATGAACAGTGTGATAACATTATTAATATTTCTATGGTTTACAAGTAACTTTAAAAATTACAAATAACAAGTAACAAACGAGTTTCAAGTAACCAGAGCAATGACACATTATACCGTTGACGCTCAACGATGCGTAATCCTTCATTGTGAAGGCCGACTCTACCGCCATCGAGCGGCGAACAGTGAAAGTAGAACAGTCGTCACCACGGAGATGCCGTTCGCGTTTCCACTCGTCGGTTTGTCAGGACGAGAACGTTCTGAGTCAACTACTCGTTCACCATACTTAGTCTATCACTGTAGACTATCGCTATAGACTGTCAGTTATTGGATAACTGTAATAATGTAGTGCATAGAGTTACTGTGACAAGTGACGACATAACGTTTAGGTTAGATTAGTACCAATGGTGGCGCGACGATCGCCAATTGGCTAATAAACGACTCGTTGACGCGTTCGAAACATGGAATGGACATAGGGTGATTGAATTCGTTCTAAACAGGGCGGAACCCACATTTCGTGACACAGAAATGTAAACGCGGCCGGATGCATGCATGTCACGTAATCGGGCTCATTCATAAATCTAAATGAGGTCGGGGGTATAAAGGAACGCGGGTGACCCATGGAGACCTGAATTTTTTCTTCTCATCTCTTTTCATTAACCCTTCCACCATTGCGTAATTATGGTAATACTCGGGATTAAAGTGCATTTCGTTGAATAAGGAAGAGATTAGGTCATCGTTGAGTTGTATTTCTATTTAACATTCCGGAAACAACGAAATTTATTGTCGCGTATTGTGTCTCGTAGCCTTTGTTTTTCGTGGATGTCGCAATTAATATTTCGAGTTCGATCTTTGGTGATTTTTTAAGGAAATTAGGCTAGAAATGTGAAATTGAATTATTATTACCTTTGTCGAACGGTGCGTATTAGAAATTAATTTTTAGTTTTAATTAAAAATTAATATACTATTACGGACTTTAAATATATAATAACTGAATTTGTAGGTGGAAGATTGGGAGATTATTTTTGCACAAAAGTATTTAAATTCTATTTGTATTCTTGAAAACTCTAACTTTAAATTTCGTTGGAAACAGTCCATTTGCTTACTTGCAATTTTTACTTAGCGGAATGTGTCCCTTTAGTAGATCGTTCTTCCCTTCTACCTTTTTCATGAAACTCCAGGGCTTTTACACTCATTGTCATATATTACCTAATGAAGCTTCACGGCACAGTGAAGTTCTGTAGAATATTATTTTACAACGCCGTGTTTTGATTGTAGTTTAACTGTAAATAACGAAACGTTGCTGTAAACAAGTACACATATATAGTAATTGAATGTTGTAGTAATTTTAATCTCCTAAAATTTCTGTAAATTATTATACAACCCTAAAAATTTTGAATTTTTGAAAACTGCTGTTTATTGTGCATAAAAAAAAAATATCTTACGAAACAATCATTTGATTTTTCTATTATTTAGTTTAATCTTGACTGACTTCATTTTCTATTATTTAAGGTAATTTCTGTAATTTAATTTATTATTACTTAATTTAAATTAATCTGCTGCTTAATTTGTCTCTTCTTCGTGTAATTGTCAACAAATAATTCAGTGGAACAGAATTATGTATATTCATCGAAGAAAATTGAGCCTTAAAATAATTAATATATATATTCTTTTTTCCATATTCAGTTCAATTTATATTCGTGACACAATCGACACAACACAACAATCCTGCGTATTTACATACGTACGAGAGATTTTTTCCTTGAACGATTCAATTTCAAACTTGTCTGCATACAAAGCAACTTCAGAAGTTTACACACACCAATACGTGTGTTTGTGCGTCGATTCTAATTTGAATCTCTCTAATTAACTTATTATTCAACAGTCAATCCTAATCAGAATCATCGAACTTGATCGAAATTAGGTTCTTCCTAATTACTTTAGTGTCCAACATTCAGTTCAAGTCAGTACCATATCGTGGATATACTCGAAGGCTGTAAAATCACTTGCATATACCAATGTTCATTAATCCGACATATTTCTAATTTAACTCCCATAACTTTTCCCGATTTCTTTCATTCGTATTGAATTTTTGACTGATTTGGACGTAACTAATTGAAATGTGGATATCGAAGCGAGGGTACTTTAGAAATATTTCTCTGATCATTACGAAGAAAGAAAATAATTTCTTTGATAGATTCTAGAGGCTCGAGAGTTACCAGTGAAGGATGTGACAGGCAGTAGCGATCCCTACGTGAAGGTATACCTGCTGCCTGATCGAAAGAAGAAGTACCAGACGAAAGTGCATAGGAAGAACCTGAACCCTGTATTCAACGAAACCTTTATATTCAGGTTGGTAAACATGATTGAACAAATATGAAAGGTTTGTTACGATTAATAAATTTGTTTAATGAAACATCGATGAAGACATAGTTACTTGCTGACATACAGGGTCCCTGGATCTCTGTAATTAGTTCATAGTTTTTCGTAATATACCGTCTGCACACATCGACTAACAATTTTAATGCAATATTTATATGTACATATTACAAAAGTTTAAACCACTGTTCATGTACATAGCAGACATTCAGAAAATTTTTATATACAATATACATATATTTATTTAATAAATACAAATATTATATACATTTATTAGCCAGTGAAAAGCTGTCTGTGAGACAGGACAGGCCTTTAAGATTCGTGTATATGGACTTCTATATATCTCTGTACCTATGCACGTGCCTTTATGACATGAAAACCATAAATATCTGTCACCAGCGTGTCATATGAAGAATTGAGAAAACAGTATCTTCAGTTCTCCGTTTACGACTTCGATCGATTCTCCCGGAACGATTTAATCGGACAAGTGGTGCTGAAGGAGTTACTGGACTGCACCGACCTAGAACAAGAGATCGAGTACTCGATGGACATCCTATGCGCTATGCAGGTAGTCAGTTTGATACTGAATTGTGTCTTAATCGTTCAACACTATGATTAATAACATCCTTCATTAACGTTTCAAATTCCGTAACAATATAATATCTATAATAACACGGTTCAACACGAACGTTAATCTCTAACATCGATTAGATAATATTTGATGAGTTCACTGACCTGAAAATGAATTCGCAATGGAAATTGCTCTACCTGACTCAGTTCATTCAAAAATTCCGAGTATGTCTAAAAACACATGATTATTGACAAAATGAAATATTACATAGAAATTAAGAACATTAGATTTTTCATTCTTGACTTGAATGTTATGTGAGAGTATTCCGAAGTTTAACAATATCCGTGATTATAATTAATTGTATCTATCAAGTAAATTTCGGAAAACAGACAAAATTCAAAAGGAACGATGAAAGTTTACAATAGATAGGAAATATCTTGAACTTTGTGCGTAGCTCTTCGCTTGGTATCATATTCCAAAGATTATTCCATGGGAAACGATACCAATTACCAGGTCTCACCACGTGGAGGTGGCTACGCATTGAGACCCGACATGCGCCCTAGTGGCGCAGCCTGCTGGCGCTACCTGTATCAAAGGTACCCTAATCTAACTAGGAGCGAATTAAGTTAAAATGACTCTACTGACACTTTATTATACTTCGTGTCTTACAAAAGGGGTTTCGGTTCGGTATACTGAAACTCTACCGTCGCAACGCTAAGATATTTTCAAGTACCCATAAAAATAGGGAATGAAATATCAAACACGCGAGCTAATAGAAAATCGCGACGCGCCCGAACGAGTTCGCAGTTATTTGAAAGACCGACTAGCCTAGGCGATGTACTCCCGTGTACAGAGATAAATTCATGCCTCGGCACCCTCCCGATCGGGCCTAGCTCAATTCCAGTCACTGTCGCACTCGCCAAGACTTACACGTGGACCAAGG